TGCTGCCTGTTTTCTTCTTGCCCTCTGCCTAATTAAAACACCAGAGCTGGTGGCCAGCTCCCCCTCCCAAGCCCTATAAATCCCAAGGTAAGCCCTGGAGATCTGCCAGCATCATGGGAACGAGCCCCAGGTAGCTGAGGAGAGTGCAGCGAGGTTTGGTACAGCATCGGGACGGGGGAGATGGAGCTGTGCTGATGGAGAGGGGATGGCATGGAGCACAGCCAGCCAAGGGGATGGCGCTGGGTTATGCCCTGTAGCTGCAGGGGAGAAGAGCCAGAGGGATGGCACCTGGCAAACAAGCAGCCACCAGGCAGCTGCTGGGGAAGAGGGACCTGGGCTGCCCTCCCCTTCCCTGCCTGCCAGCCTCAAAACTGACTGAATGGATGTGCAGAGAGCCCGGGGCGGCTGGGTGGCCCGGGAGAGGAGCTAGCTGATTTGTTTTGGCAGGCAGCGTTTAGAGGAAGGCCAGGGCGCAGACGGGCTTCATCACAGAAGCAGATCAATTAACCCCATCCAGCTCCCACGAGCTGGACTGCAAGTGCCCAGCACTGCAAGGCGGCTGCTCCTGAGCCCGTCAGGGTCTTCAGCAGGCAGTCTCCGGGCCACGTCTAAAAAAAGTCTGCAGACCCATGACCTGGGCTCACCTAACACCGGCACTGTGGTGCCTGCCTCAGTTTCCCCTTCCCTGAGATGCGCGATAAGCACCCACCCACCACCCATGCAGCAGGCTTCACTGCTGCCTGGGCGAGACATTTAATAGCTTAAATCCTGCTGGGGCTGAGCATCACCAGAAGCAGGACTGACCCAAGGGCAAACCCAGGCAGCAGCAGCCTAACACAAGTCAGAGGGAGGAAGTCCCTTAACACCCCCACGCATTTAGCCAGTGAGTGAAATAACTGGCTGCCTCCTGGGTTTTTGTGCCTTTGCTGTCTGAATTTGCTTTTAATGATCAGTGTCTTTCCAGTGCAAGAGGCACAGTCACAGCGGGCTGAGAAAGGGGTTCACATCACAGGGACACAGCAATAGCTACAGCAGGTACCTGGGGAGATGCAGTCCCTCGGCTGCAGCCAGCAGTGGGGGCATGACAGCCCGAGGACAGGATGGAGTAGGGTCTGCCACCTACAAGGGTTTTAAAGGCTGGACCTTCACTATCCTTGACATGAGGTGGAAGGAAGGGCAAAGCCCAGAAATAATTCGGGGCCAGGGCCCCGTGCCGGGGCCGAGGCGTAGGCTCAGCATCTGGTTGCAAAGGTCTAGAGGACATAAACTCCAGTGTGAAAAAAAGCAGCAGCAGCAAGGGAAGGCAAATAAGCAAATATCCTCCAAACCAGGGAAAGGAAAACAGAAAATGGTTGTCAAAAAAACAGCCTTGGCTTTTGGACTGCGGAGGCGGTAGCTGATGGGATGTAACAGTGGTACCCAAACAGATGTGGAGCTGAGTGGGTAGAAACAACCCTGCTGTGGTCTTGGAGCTCCCCAGTGGCTGTGACTCTGTGTCAGGGGGAGAGTAGAAAAAAATGTCCCTCAGAGGCACAGGACAGAGCTAGCAAGTGGCCGAAGGGGTGGCAAATGCCCTCGCAGGCTGCTGTGGAGATGGGTGGTGGGAGGCAGCGGCAATGATGGGGCAGTAGCAGAAGGTCTGTCCTGGGGAAGACCACTGGGATGTTAAAAAAGACAATATCCTTCCCCACTCACAGCTACTGCAGAGACCTTGGCAACATCCCGGCCAGGCTGGATGTTAGGGTCATTTCTCCAGAAGCTTGTTGTTTCATCTCTTTCACAGTAAATAAGGTTTCTCCCAGAAGTTTAGGGAAAGCAGAAGCAATGTCCTGGGGACAGACATTCCTTTAAACAGACTTCTCTTGTTCCTCTGCAGTTACATATAAGGACAATTTAGCAGCAAATAACTTAAGCCCCAGCCTTTCTAGGATGCCTGTGCTCTTCAGAGACCAAGCAAGGTGCTGTAGGAGGGAGCGGAGGGGAGCAGCACCTTCCCCTCCCTGAGCCCGTTCTGGAACCTCCAAAGGCAGAGCCCTCGGCCAGTGGAGCACAGGTTTCCTGGCTGAAGGGACATCAGGGCACTGATGGTATTACACAGTTCCCAGGTTATGGTTTTTCCATTTCCTTTAAATAACATCTACCAACCTCAGGAATCACCATTTTCATTATCAGAAATAGCATTTTCAATACCCTGCCATAAACATCATCTGCTTTTGGCAAATGTGTACCGTTAATAAAGCAGTAGCTCCTTCGTACCCCAAGTCTGTGAGATGTTTCATTATGGACCTCAGCACACCCTACTATTGCCACCAGTTTCAGCAGCACAATGGTCACACTGGTAGCCAGATGTATGCTTAGGTGCACTTGAGTAATTCTGTAAAGCTGTGTCCTTCTCCATTGGTTTCAGCCACAGCTGGGAAAACAGTACCTCCATGTCTGCCCAGCCTTTTGCACCGGAGCTGCAGCTTGCTAGATTTCTTTCTGCAGGGAAATGCTATTTCATGGTGACCACCATTTGCTAAAAAATGCCAAAAATCCACACCAGCACCGAAGAATTTATGCTCTTACTCAAAGAAACACATGAAGTCAGGTGAGGGCAAAGACTGTGACATCCAAGCCAAGTACTCTGTGTGACAGACACCCCAGCCAAGTGCTCTGAATAACAATGTGATGGCAAGTCCTGTCTTTATTTACACCTGTAGTGGGCCAGATCCTCAGCAGATACAGCTGGCTGGGCTGCAAACGAGTTGCACCGACTCACGTATCCCCCCGGGAGTTATTTCTGGCCTCTCAGGCTTCTCAAGGTCAGCCTCCCTGAGCACAGGCAAGGTACTCGCATGTAAGCATGCCTTGGTGCTGGGGAAGAGGAGATAAACAGCAGAACCAAGGAAGTTGGAAACCCTAAAGTAACCTTAACATCAGTCCAGCACGGATGCAAGGATTGCTCCAATGGCAACGCTTTGGATTCAGTTGGTTTTCAAGAGCAAATGGCATGGCTCGATATTCAGCAGCTGCCTCCCCTCCTCTTTCCCAGCTCCAAGGGGTAGTGAATGATGTGGCAGGAGATCTCACTTCAGCCATTCAGAGGTCCATCTCCAGAGGCCACTGGGGTGAGTCAAGTCCTTCTCAGTACCCATTGCACCGTGAGGCCGTAGATCAGAGGAGCTGGGATCTGCGACAAGCTGTGGTATAGATACCATGTTGTAGTTGCATAGAGCCAAAGTCAAAACCCTGCTGGCTTTTTAACCCCACCAGCAGCCCACAAGGTTGCTTGAAGAGTTTTCCTGCCCCACAAGGCCATAGAAATTTGTGGTGTGATAGCATACCAGGATTGCTGAACTCTCCTGCCTGCTCTCTGCCCAGCCCTTAGCACGCAGACCTGGGCACGGCTGTTTACCTTCTTCTCTCGCTGTGTATTGACCTTCCCAATTTCAAGTTGAAGTTGGCTAGCACAGATCTGTAGCTGTTTATTAACCCCAAGAAGCAGAGAGGCTGCAGCACCTGACCTCTCAGGCAGGCTCTTAGCCTGCTTTTCAGGAGGAGCAATGGTTTATGGAGGTGGGTGAAATGCAGAAGCCATAGCCCCGTGATACCAATGCCAGTGTGGTGGAGGGACATGGGCTGGAGAGCTCTTGACCAAATCACAGAGCAAATAAATCCAAGGATCCCCTCCAGAGCTCCTTATATGTAGAGATGCAGAGCTTCACACAGAAATGGGTTTACAGACAACCAGGTGAGGGCCATATACTAAGAGCCAGGCTGCCTTAAATACAGCCTCGTTAGGCTCGTTATCAGCAAACCATTAGTCTTTGCCTGCAAGCTAAGGCAGCACTTTGAACCTGCACAGCAAGTTCCGTGCTCCCATAAAAGAGAGGGGCCAAGCCCCAGAGCAGAGAGAGAGGAGATGGCTGCTGGGGAAGGGACGAGGAAGGAGTAGGACAGTAGGAGTTGAGGGGAAGGCTTCAAGAGGAAGCTGAAGGCAAAGCCCCAAGGGGAGGAAGGGCAGGAGACAGTGGTCAGAGGGAGGAGATTAAAAGCCCTCAGGCTCTGGCATGCTGGAGATGGTGGAGGGCTAGATGAGTTGGAGATGGTGGAGGGCAAGGTGGTGACAACAGGGAGGTGACAGTCAA